GAACCCGCCGCCCAAAACCCTAGACCCTTCAACCTGCATGGACTCATGAACTCTGAGTCCAAAACTTAAACTCCTAGACTCTAAGCCCTAAGCCCTAATCTGCTAGACTCTAAACCCTACACTCCTAGACTCTAAGCCCTAAACCCTAATCTGCTAGACTCTAAACCCTACACTCCTAGACTCTAAGCCCTAAGCCCTAAACTCCTAGACTCTAAACCCTAAACCCTAAACTCCTACACTCTAAACCCTAAACCCTAAACTCCTACACTCTAAACCCTAAACCCTAAACTCCTAGACTCTAAACCCTAAACCCTAAACTCCTAGACTCTAAACCCTAAACTCCCACACTCTAAGCCCCAAACCCTAAACTCCGAGATTCCCAAGCCCAAGTCTCCGGGCAGGCGTGTAGCCTTAGAGATCGATAGAGCCCTTCGTTCCCACGAGGCGGGCTGGGGACTCTCCATGGTGGGGTATGGGGCTTTAGGGCTTGAGGGCTTATATGGCGTTAGGGTTTTGGTAGTTTGATGGTTTTTAAGGTTGTTTAAGGCTTAGGGCATAGATGGCTTTAGTTTATTTCTTTTATTCTGTTTTTTTTTGGGGGGTGTTGAGGGCTGTGAGGGCATTACAGCTTTAGGGTTTTTCGGACTTTGGGAAACGTTAGGGTTTTGTGTTTAGTGTGGCCCATACAAACAGTGGCCATAAGATTGAGAGGGTGGGTTCTATAATAAAGGGGCCTGGATGTTTGCCCATACCATCGTGGGGGGGGGTTCCTTATTCTAGTTATATCATAGTATGCCCCAACACCCTATTCTAATTATCAGAAGGCCCCCGACATTAAACCCTTCTAGCAGCCCTCTTAGAAACCCTTATAGACCATTCTTTCTATAGAAAAATGTACCCCAAAGCCCCATTCTACTCATCAAGTAGGGCCTGGGTAAGCTTTCGGGTGTTGGGATTTCGGGCTTGCAGCTCAGGGTTTCGGGCTTGGGGTGCACCAGGTTTAGGGCTTGTGGGGCTGATAGGGTTTAGGGCTTATAGGGTTTATAAGGCTTAGGGTTTATAGGGTTTCGGGAGCAATAGCCACTTCTGGAATAAAGAGTTGGTGGCGGCAGGATTTCGGTTGAAGTAGTCCAATCAACTGACACAATCATCTTCTGAGGGTTCGGAATTGCGAGATCAGGGCTTCAAGGAGATAGGGTTTAGGGGGTTGAGGGTTTAGGGTTCAGGGTTTAGGGTTTGGGATTGTCGGATTGAGCCAAGAGTCTAACTGAACCCTACACACTAAACGCAGTAGGAGTAGTTGTGGCATTTGCGAAGTTGTTTAGCTTCTGGAGTTCAGGAGTTGAGGCTTTCAGGGCATGCAGCATGTGGGATTTCGGATTTCGGAGTGTTGTTGAGCTTCAAGACCGCTATGTAAGTAGCTAGCATTGCAAAAGATGAATGTTGTCTGAACCCGTAGGATTCATCTAAGGACCTGCAATGTGAAGTGTGTGTGTGTGTGTGCTGTGACTCGCTCTTCGGGATGGGAGAGGGTACTTGCGAAGAAGCCAACGGCTCAACGGATCGTGAATGCCGGAGAATCTACATACACTGCCACGTCTGCATCAGCCGCGGGCCCTAGGCGACGATGATTTGTTGTAGCAGTAACCCCCAGCTCCCGGCTCTTCAGCCCTACGAAAGCAACCTTCTGGCCGAAGTCTTATAGGTTGGTAGGTTGGTACAAACACTACGTTAAGCTACAAGAACCTACATACCCTTTGTAGGTTCTTATTATAAACCCTAACATGGATTTTCTGTTGCAGTAGGTACGCCCTATGCATGCAGTTCAATGGGAGGCAGAACTTCCAAAATCCCTGAATTAAGGAATGTACCTTAAATCATATTTGTGATCCTACTAAAAATTAAAAGGTTTCCCTAACTCTTGCAAGACCCTTATAGAAACCTTTATAGATCCCATTATAAGGAACCCGAAAAGGTACAAAAACCCTAAACCCTAAACCTAAACCCTAAACCTCCAAACCTCTAAACCCCTAAACCCCCATACCTAAACCCTAAACCTCTAAACCTCTAAACCTCTAAACCCCTAAATCCTAAACCCTTCACTAAGGCATCTTGGGGAAGGTCTGGGAGCCGAAATAGCGCCAGGCCCTGCAGGCGCTGACGACGCGCCTCCGCTTCACTCCCCTGGATTTCGCACCCATCTGCGCCGCCTGGACGGGGCGCAGGGATTGATTTAGACAAGAGAGAGAGAGAGAGAGAGAGAGATGTATATATATATATATACACACATGCATGCATGCATGCATGGATGGATGGATGTATTTTTGTATATGCAAGTATGTATCTATGTATCTATAAATGTATGTGTCTGTGTATGTACGGGGTACACTCCCCCAACCTATGGACCCGGATTGCTGTATACAGTATATATATATGTACACACCTATTCATTCATGTATGAACTCATTGCAGCGGGAATACATGCTCCGACAGCACGCGGAAGAGGAAGCAACTCGACTCAAAACGAAGACGAAGAAGCTCAATGTGCTCATTTGCAATGGGGAAAGGAAAGAACATGACACGAAATAGAAGGCAAGCACAACGCAAAATGGTGCAGCTCAGAATCGCGAAAGTTGACCCACAGGTGATTCGCAGTAATATGCCATAGGGCTTTAAGGGTTCCCTAAACCCTAAACCCTAAATCCTAAAACCCTAAGACCCTAAGACCCTAAATCCTAAAACCCTAAGACCCTAAGACCCTAAGACCCTAAATCCTAAAACCTTAAGACCCTAAGACCCTAAAACCCTAAACCCTAAGACCCTAAGACCCTAAATCCTAAAACCCTAAAACCCTAAGACCCTAAGACCCTAAATCCTAAAACCCTAAACCCTAAGACCATAGGGGTCCTTCAAGGAACTCTCTTTCGAAACCCGTCTTTAGAGGACCGGCGCAGCGGTCTTCGGTGCTCTCGAGGGAGCACCCGACCTTAGAGCCTTAGCAAGAAGTTTAGGGGCTTAGGGTTTATGGGTTTAGGGTTTAGGGTTTAGGGGCTTTGGGCTTAGAGGTTTATGGGCGTTGCGGTTTTGGCTGCAGGGTTTAAGGTTTCAAGGTTTCAAGTTCCAACCGTCAAAGTATAGAGTATAAGGTAGACGGGTTTACGGTGTAAGGGTTAGGGCTTATAGGGTTGTTGGGGTCATATAGGTTCTCTGGAGTACAAGGGTTAGGTAGGTTCCTGGGAGTTATGTAGCTTTTAGGGCTTCTGGTGAGTTATGTAGGTTGGAAGGGTTCAGAGTTGCAGAGCAAGGGTTGAAGGTTGGGTTTAGGGTGGAAGACTCACGATCGGCTCCGGCAGCATGGCACAATTTAGATCCAAAAGAAGGCACTGTCACAAGCAGCCTGCAATCTTAAAACCAATAACCCTGAAGCACTAAACTAGACCGAAGTCCGATAAGGTATTAATAAACCTGGACGCCGGAAACCAATCCTAAAACCCTAAAGCCCCAAAGCCTTCAAGCCCTAGACCCTACAACCTATTTCCTATCTCCTAAATCCCAGCATCCTAAACCCTAAATCCCAGAATCCTACAGACCCCAATACACATTGAACCCGAAATCCTGATCAATCCTATAATCTAAGGAGCCGAAGGCCTCAACAAAAACCCTTCCATTGGCGGCTGCACTAAGGTGCCGAGGACTACCAAAGAGGCAAACTGCTTCCAGATCTGCGGCGGCACGTTTCGAAAACCCCGAAACCCTAACTCCTAAACCCCTAAACCCCTAAACTCTCAACCCTAAACCCCTAAACCCTACACCGTTTTTATAGAGCTTTAACGAGAAGGGCTTTATTATAGGGAATTAAGGCCGTAGGGTCTCTGGGAGTTCCATTGCAATTTGAAAGTCCGGGTTTGGGTTTTGGCTTTACTTAGAGCTTCCGGGTTGAGAGTTTGTGGGGGTTTAGGCTTGAGATTTTAGGGTGGTTTAGGGTTTGGGGTTTAGGGTTTAAAGTTTAGGGGGTTTAGGGTTCAGGGTTGAGAGTTTAGGGTGGATTCAAAAGAGGTGGGGGTGAGCCAGGGCTCTGTCTGCGATAAGTTAGAGGATGACTCTTTATCTATGTTTGCTCTCTGTTTGTGTCATCGCTCTTCGCCGACATGGTTACTCTGAGTTGTCTGTTGTCCTGAAAGCCGAACCACGACCTTCCCAAAACCTCAAACCTTTAGGGTTTTGGGTTTGGGGTTTACCCATAGGCCCCTAAGTAGTTCCTTTTTGGGATTACCTTATAGGATTCTAAAGATAAACCGCAAAAAGGAACTACTCAGGGGCCTATGGGTAGGCTGTACACTCCCCAACCAGGACTGGCTGCGCGAGGGCTACGTCTGAGCAAGCTGCGGAGGAAAAAGGTTCAAGCGCATTTGTTTTAGGCGTTTCCGGGGTTTGGGTTCCGGGCTTAGGGTTTAGGGTTTAGGGGTTTAGGGCCGGCTGGGGCCCAATTTTGCAGGATTTCGGAAGGTGAGATTTTGCTACTAGGGGTTAAGACCTGTGTAGCATTAGGCATCGCCGTACACTTTTGGCTGATGTTGGGGGAGTGATTCCAATCAACGTTTCGTCATTACGGCCCCTATATTCATTCATGCCGGCATGGGAAAGAGCTGTGCGCATACGAGCTTGCATGCCAAGCTTCTGCAAAACCGCCGAGTCTCGACACTTTCAGGTGTAGCGTCTAGGGCTCTTCTCCCCACCGTCCTCATACGAAGCCTTGAAGTCTACATGATTGTAATGTATTTGTGACACCTACGCCCAGTATTGAGTTGGCAAAGCGTGAGATGTTGAAGATGGTGCAAGACTGGTATCTGTGTCTAGCCATGACTCTTGATGACGAGGTTACATCACAGACAGCCTTGCATGCATGCCACCCACATTCTGGCAGCCCCTTTGGGCTAAATTAGCTTTAGGGCGCGGCTGTCTCCAGAGCCGGCTCTTCCAAGAAGAGCTTGCAGGAGCCGATGAAGGCAACGCACGGCTTCGGAGATCAGGTCCGACCTTGTGCGTGCTTATCGTCATGCCATGCCACGGACAACGAAATCTTAGAGAATGGCTTTAGTGGAGGCCGACCCAGCCCCGCACCCGTACCAGAGACGAGCTTCTCTATCTTTGAGCGCAAACCTTGGTCCTGTGGTGTGTTTTCATCCTGTCAGGGGGATCAGAAGGAGGGATTTGATGTTCACATCCCGGAGCTGCCACAAGTCGAGATTGGGGGCAAAGGCCATCTTTCAATTGCGCCATCTGCAGCTTGTTCCCGGCCCATACCAGAGGGCTTCAACCTCCCGAAGACAGAGCTCTTCTGGACCAATCAACGTGGGCACAAGCTCCACATCCGCCACTTTGGGCACGAGAATCCCTTGGCGCTGGTGGTTCTCATTCATGGCTATGGCGCTCATATGAACAGTCCGCATGTGTACCAGACATCTTGTCTATATGCGAAGTCCCTGGAGGCAGAGATCATGACCTTTGACATGCAGGGTCATGGCTATTCGGAAGGGCCGCGTGGTGCCGTGGCCAGTTTCGATGACATGGCCGAGGACGTAGAGTCGTTTATGCGGCTGATTTACGCTGCCAGAGAGACCCAGGGCCCAGACTTTCGCCTTTGCCCCACAGACGCCCTTCAAAGGATGCAAAAGCTACCCTTCGTTTTGGGTGGTGAGAGCATGGGAGCCGCTGTGGTTCTTCTTGCAGGCTTGCGCCTGCAGGGGAAGCCCATCCCAAACGGCTGCTTTGGGGGGGCCGTGCTTCCTGCTCCCGCAGTGCGGGACCCGAGCACAGGCAAGGGCCCTACCTTGCTGACGCGTTCACTCTGCTCCTTGGTGCGTTTGTCCCCCGCTTTGGGTGAAGTCGGGGTGCCGAAAGCATTTCTCCCGAAATTCACGGGAGCAGCGATTTTCGAAGATGCCACTTTGGCAGATCACTTTGATCGTGACAATAGTGGATCTCAATCAGGATCTCTCGGCTTTCTACACACGCCAATGAACGCACGGACCGGCACAGCTTTCGTGGAGATGTTCCAGAAAATGCAAAGGGTGCTGCCCATGGTGAAATTCCGAGTCCTCATCTTCCACGATCCGACAGACTCCATTGTTTCCTTCCACAATGCCGAGTCTTACTGAGTGTTTCAGTATAGGGACTTCAAGAACACATGACAAAGCAGTCCTCGAAACCCCTAGCATAGACACTCTGCGCTCCTGATAAGGAGTGGATCTCGGAACTCATTGCGAGCACAGATAAGAAGCTGGTACCAATTCCTGGAGGCTTGCATGCACCGCACTTCAACAGACTTGACGTTGTGCTGCCTCACTTCCGCGACTTCCTGCTCCGACAGGTGGGTCTGAATCTGAGATGTGCCCAAATTACGGTGGAAACAGAAAAATCCTGCCCGACCCTAGGCGCCTTACACCTTCGGAAAAATGGTACTACAGTGCATGACGGTAGCACCATCTTACAACCAGTGGTAGAAAGACATTCGAAGGGAAGCGTAGCTGTGGCACACCCAGATGTCTAGGCTTCCTTCATGATCGTAACATGTCAGGTTCCTTCCTGCCTTCTAAATAGCAGTACCGCGGGTGATTTAGAAAAGATCCCCTATGTTTTGACAGTTTCTAAGGTGAAGAAGGACACTCCATCAGAGTCGGCTCTGGCAGAAGAAGGCCGTGAAAGTCAAGGTGCAGATGCTGAGACGGATTTGATCAACGCCATGTCCAAGTGGCCAGCACCCGCAAGGACTGCTCCTGAGGTAGGCATTCCTCCAAGAAGCTTACTGGGATTCAGTGGGGAATGTAGGAATATATGTTAAATATACGGACTATAGACGAATGATTATATTCCCTTATTCCCTGCTAAGCACCCTACTAAGTACCAGTATGGAAGGGTCCCCATGATGCATACTCAGAATGCTTCTACCCCTCAGGCACGCGTTTATGTTGTCTCCAATTGAGGAAGTCATTCTTTACCGGGATAAGCCTTAGCGACCCGAAGGTGTCCTTGCTCTTCTTGCTTGCCTATGCGGTGTGCTGTACTTCGCCATTGTGGGTTTGGGCTCTGGGCGAAGGATGGGCAGGCATTTCGGTGCTAGCCGTCCTCGAGGCTACACTGTTCCTTCTCTTCGCGTGTGCCTGGATCATGTGTTAGGAAAGAGTCCATGTTCTCGAGATTCATGATTCCCATCTGGATGTTTGATTTTTGGCAGTAACCCCCCGAAGTGAACCCAGAAGAAATGGAAGCTTCATCCCAGTAGCAACACCCTGCAGCAATCAAGAAACCCCTAAACCCCTAAACTCTAAACCCCAAAACCCTAAACCCCAAAACCCTAAACCCTAAACCCCAGAACCCTAAAACCCTAAACCGTAAGACCCATTCAACCAGGCACTCTTGTGGCCGCCCTGCGGATGACTCGGCTTCTGCGTGCAAGCAACCGAAGGGTGGCCTCCTCCGCGCAGAGCCCGGAGGTTTGGGGTTCAGGGTTTTGGGGTTTAGGGGTTTAGGGTTTAGGGGTTTAGGGTTTAGGGTTTAGGGTTTAGGTTAGGGATTAGGGGTTTAGGGGTTTAGGGTTTAGGTTAGGGTTTTGGGGTTTAGGGTTTCGGGTTCAGGGTTTAGGGTTTGGGGGAGGTTGGGATCTCAAAGCCCCGAGGTTTCCCAGACAGCCCAATTACCCCTTAAATAATAAGGACTTACCTTAAATTATAGTAAACCCCAAAAAGTTGGAAACCGGATTAAGGACAAATAGTGCTGGGATTCCTTTTACACTACTCTTCAGGATTGAGGCTATTGGGTTTCCAACTTTTGGGCTTCTACTGTATAGGGGCCTCACTATTATGATTTAAGGCATATTCCTTAGTTAAGGGGTATTGGGCTCTCTGGGTTCACAAGAAGAGCACAAGCAGAAAGGGCAACTGCAAGAAGAACACCAAGAGCCAAGAAGAATGGATCCGGTTTGTTGGTATTTGTTGGTATGCCTTCAGAAACCCCTTCCGTGCTTGGTTTTGAATCAGTCGGGGATGCTTCTGTTGTCTGGCCCTTTAGGTTGCTACCTGGCAGCACCTGGTGTGCGTGCCTGTTTACAACGAGCCAGACGAGGCGCGCGTGTGCCCATGAAGATGGGTGACGTTTTCGGTGCGATGACCCGGGTTTCATAGGGGCCGGTGAAGTCTTGACGTGTGGTACTCAGGGATTTTTAGGGTTCAGTGTTCAAGATGGAGTCGGATCTCCAAAGAGACCATCATGTGCACCTGGTGGCCTCAAAGGGGAATACCTGGTGCTAGCGCCTAATGACTCTGATCTGATGTCAAACGTTTTTTTGTCAATTGCCACATTGTGCCTTAGGGTTTAGGGTTTAGGAAAACAGGGAGGTCATCGGCGATAAGTCGAAGATGTCTGCTGGATGCTCACACTCCTCCTCTTTCAGCTGGCGCAAAGACTTAACTTACTCGGAATGAAAGCTACAGTATTATTTGAGTTATATGCGAGCTACTATTGGGATCCCTTCCTCCAATCCCCACTGACGACCACTAAAAATAGATCCAGGTTGTGCTGGCTACGCTGAGCAGACTGAACAAGTCTGCAGCCGCCCCTCGAATGCGGGTTGTCTTCGCCATGGAGGAGCAAAGATAACTTATCGTAGCCTGTGTTCCCAACAGACCAAACCTAAATGATAAGGGCAGTGGGAGGTTCACTAGAAGTTTTTAGCGCCATTTGGAGCAGGCAATCCGACTATTTGGCCTACTAGGCTACATGTTAGGGAGTAATGACCCCTAAGATCAGATGGCTGCAGCAGTCTGCTGGCCAATTTGCCAGCAGCATGCCGAGACTCGTAGTACCTTAAACGGAATATATAGGGATATTATAGGGTCATATACGGATATATGAGGTTTAGGGCTTAGGGATTCCCAATCCTAGCACAGATAGTTGTGGCTGAAGATTAGCAGGGCGCAGAATTTGCAGCACTCATAGCCAAGAAGCTGCCACCCAGCCTTTGCACCCTAAACCCTATTCCAATGGCAAGCATCTGTTTAGGATGCCGTCCGCAGAGAGGATGCATTGTCACCACGCATTCTATAAATTGAAATGAAGGCCCTTGGTCTAGTCTGGGTGCGGTTGCAGTAAGACTTTCAGTTAAGTTACTACAAATAAGGAAACCCTCTTATTTCCCATGTACCCATACCTATAGTATGGTAGCTTAATTTAACTTCCTTCACAGCAACCTTTTAGATCTGCACGTTCCCAAGGCGGCTAAGTCCCTTGGAGTGGTGAGGACTCCATTTAAATGGGCTGCTGTTCAGGGAATTGAGTTTGATTCCCGTATTATGTGTATATAGAAAGTAATACGGTTTACTTAGCAGAATATCTGTTAAATAATGTTCCTTAGTAGCAATCCAGTAAAGTGGCCCAAAACTTCCCTTTCAAATTAGACCCCGTGACCGCGCAAAGTGAAAGCACCCGAAACACAAATGAACTCCTTACTACCACTACTCTTCTTACTAACATTGCTATTCTTACAATTATTGCCGTTATTCGTAAATGCAAGAGCATTATCTGCAGGAGGCCGCTGACAGAGTTGACGAGCGCTTTGAGCGCTACAAACAATGCTTCCAGTTTGCACTTACTGCATGTGCCTACTGCGGCCAGTAGGGAATATGGGGATGTAATATATTGGGATTCTATGACTATTAGGATAATATTCCCTTATTCCCTACTCGCAACCATCAAGTTTTGTGTGTTTCAGGTCGAGGTCAGGCGTTGGGAGGTTTGGGGTTGCATTCGCAGGAGCTTCTCAGCGGCCACAACTCTTGCACCCTAGAATTGTTTTAACTTTGTTCTGGGAGTCAACAGGATTCTTCCCCTAATCCGGACACCGGAATCTATTTCAAATGTGCGAAGCTTGGCCTTGAATCTGCACAACCATCCACTCGTAATCCTTGTAGCCGATGCCAAATGTCTGGCGAGAGCAGGAGAAGACGTACAAGGTCCTCAACAACCTAACCTTTGCACCCTACGCCCTTTTCCTTCCGGAAAACAATGTTCTGAGATAGGATTCCCCTCACAATTTTCACAATTCTTTCCATAGCACAACAGTCCTTGCTTTCAGGCCTATCGCGCATCCCGGAGGTCTGCTTCTACGTGCACCGTGTTGGCGCGGTGCAAGGTGAAGTCAGAGGTTTGTGTTCCAACCTGGCGCATGCCATGTCCGTTGATGTCCCCAAGCTGGTTCATCGGTGCAATGGTAATGTGGAGGATTTGTCCAAATATGTGTTCACCAAACTCGATTCCCAAGTGCATCTCCCTCCGAACTACTTCGAAGAGCTGGAGGCGTCTTGCCAACGAGTGGGTAGTGAGGCCGTTGTATTTCAGCCTCTCCCAGTCAACCTGGTGAACCGACACCTTAGTCATGGCCCAATGCGGGCCATTGCAGCTGCTCGGACTTTCTCCTACCCGATTCTTTTTGCCTTGAACCTTATGACTGTCACCTGCTACAGTGTGCCACTGGTGCAGTACATGAAGATGGGCTTGACTCATGCTGGCTACCTTGGTGAGGATCCTGGTTTAGGGTTTTACGCTAAGGGTTGCGAAGAGATTTGCCGGAGGATCCGAGGGTAAGTGCTGTTCATGTTTCAGAGTCATGCTCCTTTTGTACAGGTCCACCATAGCCCCTGTGCACGTACAGGAGCATTTTGAGGACTATACCCCAACCCCTACATAATCCCAATTTCCACTTAATTCCTCCCTTTGATTCTCCTGTATTGGGGTTACATATCCCATACATCCCCTAAACCCTAAACCCTAAACTCTAAACCGTAACCAGAGGACATAATGATGCTGGCGCAGGCGGCCGCAACAGGCGGACTGGGTTCCCTGAAGCATGGTCCCTTCATGGCCCTAAAATAAGGGTTGAGGGTTTAGGGTTTAAGGGTTTATAGGGTTTAGGGGTTTAGGGTTTAGGGTTTAGGTTTAGGGTATGCCCTGTAGCCTGGGGGTCGTGAAATAAGCAGAAACACCTACAGAGAGCTGGCTGCTCCCAAAGGCCCTACATACCTAGAATGTACCGGAATAAAATCTGCCGCCAAACCTCGCGTTCGAGTATGCAGGGTGGATTACTCTAACAAAAGGTACGAGATTTTGAGGCAAGCATGGCATCAGTTGGGCAACAACTAGGCGAGTAAGTACAGCGATGTCCACTTGACCTGTCTTCTGTAGTATGCCATCATGGCTGTGTAGGGGGGTACCTTGCATGCTGTCTGAGGATATGATATGTCCGCAATACCCTAAACCCTAAACCCCAAACGGATCGTAAAAGGCCCTAGTCAAGCTCCCAAAGTGGTCCCAACATTCACTTCCTACTGGTAAGTTTATGCAGGTGGTGGCCGCGCTCGTATTGTCGTGCTTCCGGTCCTGGTGGGGGTTGCACCCCCTGTGGGCACTACATTGCATCTGGGGACTTTTTGAGATTGCTTTCGGAGATTTCTATAGATTAAGAGGTTCCGTTCTGGGCACCTAGAAGTCTATATTGGGGTCCCCGATTTTTTGGAAATTACTTGTAGGGTGCGGACGTAGTTGTGGCGAAGTTTTCAGGTGTGAGGCTATGAGGGCAGCAGCCCATCAGAGTTTGCGCTGGGCTGGTCAGACGGCAGAAGTGGCCGAATTCTGTTGGCGGTTCAAGGCTTGGGGGAGCGCTTGTCGAAATCTCTGGTGGCTGCTGAAATACTGGCTGATACGGTGCTGGCTTTGTTCTGGCATCGGGCTTTTCAGCTTTCTCCTTCTCCTGGCCGCCTACACTTTTGGTTCCAACCTCCCTGACGAGCAAGCAACAATTCTCTCGATTATGGAGAAGAGCATGTCCGCACTGGTACTGACGCTCACCTTGGTGATGCCCTTCTATGAGCAGTACCTAGCATCACTTGTGCTAGATAGCACTTTGTCAGCTCCTTGGAACCAACTTCCTGGGACTCTGTTTGGAGCTCCTGTTGGTTTTCCATTCAGTTTTGCTTGCGACCTGCTGGCTTGGATCAATCTCCTAGCCTTTGGCAAGCATGCAATAGCATCCTCATCCCGAAAGAAGGTGGCTGCAACAAAGCAGACACCTCCATTCTCAGATGTTTGTCCATCTACTCTTTGACACTTGCCATGCTCAGAGCCGTTGAGTCGGACCCTTAGGGTCCCACCCAACTGCTAGCAGCATGCATTACGGCGCGGCAGAAGTCCACCGGGATGCGTGTTGAGAAGGTCAGTGCTTATCGAAGCCGTGCTCACACATGTGTCGCTCCCAGATGTCTCCATGGCCGTGTTCAGTTATGCGCTGCTGCACCTGGGGCACCATCTTCGTTGGTTGTCATCATTCTGGCTGCTACTGACTGACGTCAGCTACTTTCTCGGTTGTTGCTGCTGCGGCTGCTGCTGCTGCTGCTGCTGCTGCTGCTGCTGCTGCTCTTGCTTTCAATGCGCTGTTCTCTTTTTAATCATTCCCACAGCCATTGAAGTGTTTCATTCCTAGGGGCTGTCCAAGTTCGCGATCGCAAGCGCAGCTACGTTTGACACAGCTTTGACTACTTTACTAGTACCCGTGACCAACATCTCTAAACCCTAAATCACCCTAAACCCCTAAACCCTAAACCCTCATCACCAATGGTCTAAGCCCCCTTCCTCTTAGTCGTGCTGAATCTTCTCCGGGATTTGCGACCGTCAGGTTCAACATTTCCAACCAGAATCTTTCCCTGGCAAAAGTGTTCACGACGGTGCATGTTGGTGTTGGCCTGGCTTCAGGCGCCGACCTCTCTCGCGCCCTGTAATCTTCGGTCTTTGGTCCTAGGCCCTCAAGTCCACGTCTGCTGCTCTCAGTTTGGTCCCAGGCCCTCAGATCCATCTGCTGTTTTCACTTTGATGCCGCGCTGTCCGGACTGTCCGGGCTGCCTGGCACACATAGACGCATGTTTTCCGAACCGAGTTGCCTTTGAAAAATGCGGCGAAAGATGATGTCTCATTCCAGTTGCTCTTGATGCCGCGGCGGGGGATGATCATGATGCCAAAACGGGCCTACTTTCGGTCCAACGCTGGTTTTGCCAGCATGTTTTGAAGTTGTTCTCTAAAGCAACTAGAAAGTTCCCATATATAAGTCTGTGGTCTACACAATTTGTAGACCGCAGATTTCCCTAACCCGCATAGATACGATATACGCAATATAGTTTTTGAGGATGGGGGGCCGAGGAAGGGGGCCGCAGGCTCTAAGGCCCAAATAACAAAATTAGCCCGAATTCAATGCTGCGTACATATAGAAAATTGTTATGCAAATGGGCGCGTCCGGCCTGGTCAGGCCCTGGACCGTCCCCCGGCAAGCGGCACCGGGTAACCAAAACGCGCTTGAGGTTGATTTTATTCGTCTAGGCAACATTGAGTTGGGCACCCTAAGCCTGTAAAAATTGCTCCGATGTTCAATGATGCTCTCAACAAGGGAGACTGCCAACGTTACGTGATGCTCGGGGCGGGGGAATCGGGGGGAGCGGGGGGGAAGGGTGGGGGGTGGGGTGGTTCTTATCCCAACTTGCGGCTGGGGTGCAGTTTGGTCCGCACCTCCTCCCACTCGGCCAAGGAGAGAGGCTGCACTGCCTGGAAATCCAGGTGTTCATGCATGTTCTTGCCACTGGGTAGCTTCGGCTTTGCGGTACTCGTCGCGCTCGGTTGGGGGTATGTGTTCCCACGGGATCTCCTTTTCGAGCTGCTTCTCTTTGCCACGCCCACGTGCACCTCCTGGATGCCGTCCGACGGGAGAACGTTGGGCTCGTCTGGGATCATCTCCTCGTCGCTGCTGCCTCCATCATCGGCTTCTGGGGGACACTGGAATCATGAGCCAGGAGGTCCCCAGACACGACACGGAAAAAAATACACAAACGAACGCATAAACAATAACGAAAAACAAGCCCATGCTTCCGGCCACTCGCTGGCACTTCCGCACTTCAGAGTTCGGGCAGAGCTTACCGGAAGATAGAGATGACGAATGACGGTTGATGTCGATGGTGGTGATGATGATGCTGATGATGATGATGATGATGGTGACGCTGCTGCTGCTGCTGCTGCTGCTGCTCTGCCTACAAGCGACGATTCCGAAACCCGAAGCCCGACACCCCAAAGCCTAGCCCTCCGTGCAAGAGGGTTTAGGGGATAGGGGTTTAGGATTTATAGGGTTTAGGTCCCCGAAACCGGCATCAAGAAATATCCGGATGGTTGGGTTTTGCAAGGCTACAGGCCCAAAAGCGTGCCATATACCCAGCTGTTCATTCTGGATCCTTCGGGACATGTCATCTCATTGGCTTCCCTCATATTAAGGGGGTATTCAATACCAAGTCCTTTATGGTAAGTGCAGCTTGCATGTCGTCTGAAGTTCTTGTCCAAAGCGTGAAAACTTCATGTTTGTGGAAGGAACTGGTCTTGTTCACACGATCAAGCCCGTCTTTCTTGCATTCGCTCCGTCCGTGCACGCGGAATATTTGACAGAGTAGCCTCAACCACGAGCCTTAAAGTCCAAACCCTATACCCTAAACCGAGTTCCTCCATGCCAGATGTTGGGAGTGAGAAGCCCTGAATTCCCACCCTGAGGCTTTCTCACAGAAAGGCTGACAAAAATCAGTGTTTTTTTTTTGACGGTTTCCTGTTTTTTTTTATCACAATCCGAAGCACCCCAACTCACCCTCGGAGCCAGGCTCCGGTGGTGGAGGAGCGGCTTGCTTCGGCTGGGGTCAAGATGGCGATGCAGAGGTGTAGATTAGGGTTTAGGAAAGTCTAGGGTTTGGGGGTTCAGGAGTTTAGGCTTTAGGCTTTAGGGCTTAGCGGTTAGTTAGGGTTTAGGATTTGTAGGGGTTATATAAGGATTTGGGTTATAGGGTTTAGGGGTTTGGGCTTAGGGTTCCCCCTCCTCCCGCTGTGGTCGATATCCATCCCAAAGTTTCCAAGATCCTTGAAGCAAGAGTCTAAGTTCAGGATCAAACATCACTATAGCATCCAATGCAGGGGTGGAGTTTACAGTGCAGTTTTGGAGCTCTTACGCCTCCAAGCTTTCCAGCCTTTCTACGTCAGCAACAGCTTGGATGGACCAGTTAACCAGTACAGTACTTGAAAGATAATCTGTCTTTGGGTTCAGTAAGTAGGCAACTCTTCAAGAAGTCTAGACGTTCAGTTATAGCTGTCTTGACGTAGTATGAGCGGAACAGGAGCAGGTCGTTATCCCTTCAGCCACTGTCGGCTAGCTGGTGCATCCTCCTGCAGGCCAGGGCGAGGTTTGTTCATTGAGGGTCGGGCGGCATTCGTTTCTGCAAGCAGTTTCGGGTGGAATTCTCGAATCCATGTTTCGGGATACTCCGACTACTCGTATCCCTCTGCTCTCATCACGACACTTGCAGGCTTACAGGTGCAGTGTTCAGTGTCCATGCAGGTGTCAATGCTGTGTCAATGTGTGCATCGGAGCAAATGCAGTTCCAGTTTGCACGACGGACGGACGGCAATGTTCTGACCAATCGCACCTTGTGAAGCTTCAGCTGTCTTCTGTTCAGGAGCTGATGCCCGTACCGTCTGCCTGTAGTACATCATACGTGCGGCCTCCTCCTTGCTCCAAAGCCCAATCACCTCAGGAACTCCGAACATGAGACCTTAAATCTCTGCAACATCGAAGTCAAAGGGTCCAAGAAGGCAAACGCTTCCAGATCTACGCACATTGAGGAGGTTTGGAGCTAAAGGGAGGGTCGTCTACTTAGACCCTCCATATACCGTCTATGCGAGCCGAAATACCTACTACTAGGGGCCAGACACGCTTATTGAAGGGTACAAACAGGGTCCTGGCAGGGTCCCGGCAATTGGCGAGGAGGTTTCAAACCGTATGCAGCCCCTTGAATGCCTGAAAACCCCGCCATGCGAGCGAGTCTTAAACATTCAGCTCCAGACCCTGATGCACTAATGTCGCTACAATCTTCGTTTCGTTGAGGCCCCTTCGCGAGTTAAGGTTTCTCCGAGGGTTAGACTCGGTTAGATTATGAGGATTGCGGGTCCGGACGTAAAGCTGAGGGCACACCAGTTGAGATTCGAAGTGCTGAACTTTTGCTCTAGCTGCTCCGACATGCTCCAGGTAACGAGACGTAGCATTTAGGGTTCTTGCTCTCACCATCTCCATGCGAGCCTTGCATTTATATCATGTTAATTAACTATATGTATTTATACTGTTGACAACCGTACTTCTTTGTTCGTGGCATCACGGTACAAATTGCTACTCCTGCTAAGTCCTCCGACTGTCAGCCGTATGGATTTGTCTTGCAGCCTGGAGCCCGAACTCAACGACTCAAGACTTTCAGTGTCGGAAATCTCGTTTCGTTAAGTTCATCTCCAGGTCTCTGCACTGCAAGCGCTACACCCAGGCCTGGCTGTGAGCGCGGTACGGGTTCTCAGCTATGATCAAGACGACTTTTCTAGTACCCTTCACCATCATCACCAATGGTTTGCCTCGACATATCTTCTCCTTCGGAAAGTGTCTGCCAAGTATGCACCTTAAATCCCTTGGCGTCGACGGTGAATGTCCCGCCGGCCCCTCGCATGCATTTCCGCACTTCCGCGTTCGGGCAGAGCATAGCTCTTCGGAAGTTGGAGATGACGAGTGATGTCGATTGATGCAACCTTTTTGTTGTCATGTACGTGGCTGCAAATGCATCAAGATTCAGGACAACAGTGCTCGATTAATCTGATCATGTGTCATCCAAGTGCAAGCAGATATCGAATCGACGTGGGAGAGCTTAGCAGGCTCAGTTGTCGAATCCCGGGACTGCCCAACAGATGCTTTGTAGGTGGGAGAGCTTTTTGTGTGCAAGACCACGTCAGCCGCACGCGATGCAGCCCCGAGAGAGGGATGGGTCTCCTGTGGGCCGCCCATGGCTCAAGGACGGGCTCCCCCGTGCAATCTTAGCTGATCTAGGTCATGCTGGAGAATCTTCTGCGGGCCGTGATCTCTGTAAACGCCTGGCCGACTCAGCAGCCAGCATAGGGTCATGCTGCGAATTCTGCTGATCGTGATCCATGTCGATGCTGCTTTAGGCGACTCCTATAGCGACTCCAGTGAAAACAGCTCATCCAATGCTGCATTCCGCAGCTTCCATGAGCTGCGTGATGTGGTAGCAAGATGGCAGGCAAGCCACTCGAATGCCGCAGACAGGTCGGAGATAATCCTGAAGTACGGGGAGGTGGCAAACTGGAATGTGTCTCTGGTAACGAACATGAGCGGGCTTTTCATGGCTTCGGGCTTCAATGAAGATATTGGCATGTGGGATACTTCAGCCGTCACCGACATGACTGACATGTTCAACGGCGCAGCTGCCTTCAACCATGACATTGGCAGCTGGAACACCTCAAGCGTCACGAGCATGTACCGCATGTTCAGAGACGCAGCTGCCTTCAACCAGGACATTGGCAGCTGGAACACCTCAAGCGTCACGAGCATGGAAGAGATGTTTTACACTGCAAGAGCCTTCAACCAGGACATTGGCCGCTGGGACACCTCAAGCGTCACGAGCATGTTTTTCATGTTCTTCAATGCAAGGACCTTCGACCAGGACATTGGCAGATGGGACACCTCAAGCGTCACGAGCATGTACGGCATGTTCTACCATGCATCCGCCTTCAACCAGGACATTGGCAGCTGGGACACCTCAAGGGTCACGAGCATGTACTTCATGTTCGGTAGTGCAAGGGCCTTCGACCAGGACATTGGCAGCTGGAACACCTCAAGCGTCACGAGCATGGCGGCGATGTTCCACGATGCTTCCGCCTTCAACCAGGACATTGGCAGCTGGGACACCTCAAGAGTGACCTTCATGGATTGGATGTTCTACAATGCTTCCTCCTTCAACGAGGACATTGGCAGCTGGAACACTTCAAGTGTCACGGGCATGTACCGCATGTTCAGAGACGCAGCTGCCTTCAACCAGGACATTGGCAGCTGGAACACCTCAAGCGTCACGAGCATGGAAGAGCTGTTTTACACTACAAGAGCCTTCAACCAGGACATTGGCAGCTGGGACACCTCAAGCGTCACGAGCATGGAAGAGATGTTTTACTATGCAAGGGCCTTCAACCAGGACATTGGCAGC